GTGCGCTCCTGCTTGCGGGACGCCCGCCATTGCAATTGCGAATAAAATCTGCTTTATCAGAGATACCGTCCTGACAAAAATTATTTGGATGTTTCCAACACTGGGAACAGGAGATTCCTGGGAGAGGCGGAACTCACACGAGAGTGCTGGTGAGCACAGGGCTTGGAAGCACAGCTCCACAGCACTGCACTCTGCACAACAGCCTGCAGGATGGCATCGAGCACTGATAGAACCAGGACAGAATCACAGAATCACACGGAATGGCCCAGGTTGAAATGGATCTCAAGGATCATCTCTGACACCTTCCCACCACAGGCAGGGCCATCACCTCCACATTTAATACCAGACCAGGCTGCCCAGGGCCCCATCCAGCCTGGCCTTGAACAGCTGCAGGGATGGACAGGGCATCCACAGCCTCTCTGGGCAGCTGTTCCAGCACCTCACCACTCTCACAGCAAACAACTTCCCCTTGACATCCAACCTCAATCTTCCCTGCCTCAACTTCAAACCATTTCCCCTTGTGCTGCTGTAATCTACCCTTTCAAAGAGCTGACTCCCCTCCTGTTTCTAGGCTCCCTTTCGGTCCTGAAAAGCTGCAATGAGCTCACTCCACAGCCTTCATTTCTCCAAACTGAACAAGCCCAGCTCCCTCAGCCTGTCTTTGTAGGGGAGGTGCTCCAGCCCTCTGATGGTCTTTGAGGGTCTCCTCTGGACCCTCTCCAACAGCTCTCTGCCTTCCTTGTACTGAGGGCCCTAGACCTGGAGGCAGTACTCCAGATGGGGAGTATGCGCCGCCTCAGCTTCTACAGGTGGGTGTTTGGGGGGGGGGCAATAAGGAGGGGACTGGGCTTAAAGGAGCTGGGGGCCGCATGCAGCTCTGCTTTGGCCCCGTGGGGCTTCTGTGTCACTCAGAACCTCTGCTTGGTGGCAGGAGGTGCTGTGTCCCCCCCCAGTGGTTCAGCCACAACCTCCCCAGTCCCTCTTTGTGACCCCCAGAGTCACACCCTCCTCTGTGGTCCCCCTCCCATCTGACTATTGGAGCCCCCTCCTCCCTACAGTTCCCCCATTCTGATCCCTGCAGTCCTCCTCTACCCCCCAGCTCACTGCCCCCCTCAGTTCCCCCCTCATCCCCATTCTGACCCCCAGAGTCCCTTTCCTCCTTCCCTTCCCCCGTCCCACCCCTCCTATTCCGCCATTCTGATCCTCGTCCCCCCCCGACGTCCCCTCTCAATCCCCCATCCAGAATCACAGAATCACGCAGTCACCGAGGTTGAAATCACCAATAGCTCTCACTAATCCATGTCCCTCAACACAACATCTCAATGTTCCTTGAACACCTCCAGGGGTGGTGACTCCACCACTGCCAGAGCAGCCCATTGCAGCGACCAACCACTCTGTTAGAGCAGTAATATTTCCTAACATCCAGCCTGAATCTCCCGTGGTGCAACTTGAGGCCATTCCCTCTCATCCTATCACTGTTACATGAGAGAAGAGACCAACCCCCAGCTCACCATAGCCTCCCTCAGGAGTTACAGAGAGCCATGAGGTCTCCCTGAGACACTTCTTGCAGTGAGGGGCCCAGAACTGAGCACAGCACTTGAGCTGCAGCCTCACCAGAGCTGAGTGCAGAGGGACAATCACTTCCCTGCACTGCTGGCAGCACCGTTTCTGATACGGTCAGGATGCCGTTGGTCTTCTTGGCCACCTGGGCACACTGCTGGCTCGTGTTCAGCTGAGTGTCAACCAATAACCTCAGGTCCGTTTTCTCTACACTGACTTCCAGCTGCTCTGCCCCACACCCATGGCGGTGCCTGGGGTTGTTGTGGCCAAAGTGCATCTCCAGTTGACCAGGAAGGCTGATAGATGATGGAAAGCAGCTTGGCTTTTCACCTCCACCAGCTCTCCCAGCACTCTTGGATGAATCTCATCTGGCCCTGCGGGCTTGTGGCAGTCCAGGTGGAACAGTAGGACTCTGTTTCCTCCTGAATTGTGGGGGAGTTTATTCCGTTCCCCATCCGAGACTTCCAGGTCAGAGAGCAGAGAACCTGAGAGCTTTTTTTTCACCCTTGGCACTTCACATCCCTTGTGCACTGCAGTCTTCCCTTCCCTGAAGCTGCTCTCCCCATGAATTGTTGGCAGGGGTCTAAAGCCACCAGTCCTGCGGTTAGGATTTTGTGAAAGGGGTGCACCATTTGGCGTTGGGGTGCAACTTTGTGTTAAAGGAGTTAAATCTCTGGGCCTTGGGTTCAGGCTTTTGCTAAAGGGGTGCAGCCTTTTGTTCTTGGGGTTATGCTGCTTGGCAGCATTTGGCCTTGGGCTCCTGCTTTTAGTTTTCATTTCTCCTGTTTTGCATCTCTATGCCTCTCCAGGACTCCCTAGCAGAGACACTTTTTCTTTGCTGCAGCCTTCATGGACAAACTCCACTGAGCACAAGAGATCCGTGCAGACGCAGCAGCAGACGTCTGTGCGCAGAGGGACACTGCTCATCCCATTTCTCCTCCTAGCTATGTCTCGTCCCACTCAGTGTGTCTTGAGGAGGTGAATCTCTGTCCATCTCCTGAGTCGCGTCTCCCCTGGTCAGCAAAGGGTCACTACTGCAATGGAGTCATCCAAACTCAGAGGAATAATACACATCCATTTTTTGAGAGCTTTCTTAACAGTCAGCAACAACCAATTGGAGGTAACACTGGCCAATGGGCTAATTGCAATGAGTAAGCGGTAGAGGTAAACAATTGTAGGCAATGGCTGCTGCAAAGAGTCAAATAAGAGATGGCAAAGAGAAAAGGCAGGAAATGGGGAAAGAGGGACAGACAGACAGCAAAGCACTCGTAGATCCAGCCACGTCCCGGTGTCAGGTGTGGATCTTCAGTCTGATGGGTTGTCGCAGGTGGTGCTGTTCAGCTGGCAACGACTCACGACGACAGTAGAAACTTACTGATAAGTCCAAAGCGGTGGCACTCGGCCACCTGCCTGCACTGCCCACAGCTGTGCCTGTGCGCCTCTGGGGGGCAGGAGCACAGGAGAGGCCCCTTCCGTGGGGACAGACCCCTCTCCCCACGCCCCACCGCGCAGCCCCGAGCTGGGAAGGGTTACTGAGCAGGGCGGTCAGATGGGCAGCAGCCCATCACAGACCACATGCAGGGTACTGCTTGTAAAGTACACCAGGGAAGCGAACATTGCCCGGGGCAGCACTCGAGGCAGGAGCTGATAGAAGAGCTCCTGGTCATAGTGCTGGGCGTACAGTACTGCAGAGCCCAGCACGACAACGAGTAGCAGCTGGAGGCAGACCAGGATGAGGCAGATCGTCCTGTGGGGCAAAAGGGATGAGGCGTCCCCACCCCACGGCAGCACAGCCCCCACAGTGCCAAAGGGGCCGTTTGGGAGCCCCGCCGGCTGCAGTGGGGGGCCAGGCCATCAGCCCACTGCCGGGAGCCCGGCTGCTGGTGGCTGGGCATGGGGCAATGAGGGGACACTCACTGTATCCAGAAGGCGAGCCCCCGTCTCCTCGCCCGCTCCTTCTTCCCCTGTAGGTGAACACGGGGCAGAGAAGGTGGTCAGGCCCTGCTGCACAGCCGGGGCTCATGCATGACAGTGGGAGCCCGGCAGCTCGGCAGCACAGCCCCAGTGCTGCAGGGAGCCCTGTCCCCAGGGACACCCTTGTTGGACTTATTGGTATGATTTGCATTTCTCCTTTGCCTACTGGCAAGCAT